TTAGAAGCTGAATGGGCAGTGCTCACCCCTGTGGTGTCAGGGCCTGGGTGAATGGGCACTGTGGTTTGTAGTGGAAGCCGACTGGGTAGTGCCCGCCCTGCACTGTGGGGCTGGGACGTTGTGCATCATTGGTTTTCAGTTGATGTTGCGTTGACTGACTCACACCTGCCGCCTGGTGTCAGGGTGAGGTTATGAGCTGTCAGTTTGCAGTTGTTTGTTTTCAGAAGTAGCTCTCTGGGCCTGTCCTCATGGCAGTTCTAGGAAGACTGAGACCATGACCTGTTGACCTTGATGTGTCACCACTACCGAGTGCTTTGTTTCGACTTTGCGGTCACTGGACAGCACATTTTGTCTGTGTTTGGCCCAGAGTTCCCTTTTCTTTACAAATTCCCAAATAATGAAATGCACTTTTACAATACTGGTAAAAACCAATGGGAAACACTTATGTCCTGTAATGCTATGGCATGTGTGAAATGTTTACCTATCTATACATATACACCTGTATGGACATTGTAACCAAGTGCTTGATGTATTTTACTATGACTAGTCTATGACTTAAGTCCTTCAAATCAGAATAATATTAATATTTAAATCAGGGCCCACCATTTCTGTTAGAGTGTAGTATTTTAAGTATTTTTAAGAATTCCTAAAATACTTAACCAGGCTTTGAGCTGACTTTGGGACTTCGCTTTCACTAACTTACTAAGTTACACCTCGCATGCAGTTTTGTATCTTCTTTAAGAGTAAGAGCTAAATGTGTTAGAATACAGTGCTATTGATTCAGTGGTACTCTTTCTTGTCTGTTACAGCATCCATCCATGGCCATTGTAAAGGGAGCTGGACTGGTTATGAAAGCGATCATAGAGGTGAGAGCAATCTGATGTCCCAAAGTGATTGACTGGCTGTTTTAATCAAAGCTGACAAAATTACCTTTCTGTCTTTTACAGAAAATGTGCAGTTTTTCTGGGTAAAAAAAGTAGTGTCTGTATTTTAAAATTCATTTTAAATTATTATTGTTGTTATGTGCTTTTGAGTCACCTGCGACTCATAGCGACCTTATGTACAGTAGCCCTAAACCCTGCTCTATCTTGTGCCAATCTTATTGTCTCTGACACACCTACCTCCATTATCCCAGTCACTGAATCAATCCATCTCATAGAGGTTCTTCCCCTCCTACGCCGTCCCTCCACCCTCCCAAGCATGATGTCCTTCTCCGAGGACTGCTCCCTCCTTGAAGCTTGTCCATAGTATGTCAGATGAAGCCTCAGATGTCTTGCCTCCAAGGAGCAGCCTGGTCTCACCCTCTCTAGGACGAGCTTGTTTGATCTCCTAGCAGTCCATGGTGTATTCTTGAAGAAAAAGTCCTCAAAAAGAGTGAAAGCTTGAAGATCTTAAGTAAACAGGTTATACAGCAAAGAGTCTTTTCCTGTTTCTACGTTTCTTTTAACTTTTTTTTTTTAAAACACAATTAGTATTCTTCCTTGTGTGTTCCTTTTTGTGAGACTCTGGTAGGAGTAGTGGCAATCTTTAGGGGCTGAGGATGTATGATACAGGCTTTAGTTCACAGCAAGGCAGAGTCAAATTAGAATGAAGGCGAGGGCGAGCTCCTTATGCCAAAATACAGTAAAACCTGTGAACGCTGGGGCCTGCCAGGGGTGGAAACCAGTCAGGAAAGAAAACATAAAGGTTTTCCACTCGAACAAAAAATTGGTAAGATGTACCCTCTGAAAAACTGGAAACCTTTGAAATGTTAAAAACCCTGTCTTCTCTGTGCTTTCCTCATCGTCTCTCACACCTTGAAGCCCACTGTTAACAGCCACCGTGTCAGTCCTTCTGGCTGACGGCCTTCCTCTCCTTTGCTGGCTTTCAACCATGATGTCCCTTTGGAAGGGACAGCGCCTAACAGTGTGTCTAAAGTATGTGAGACTAATCCTGTAGGATTCAGCCTTTCATAGGCATCACAGTCCATGGATGCAGCTCCGAGATCAGTATGCTGTTGTTAGATACATGACACATTGCTTTAGCTGTGTTTACAGACGGTGATAAGCATATGAACTTGCATATTGCAATGTTTATAATGACATCAGTCTACAGTGGCATTTAAACTCTTATATTCTTTATTGTCATAGTAGTAATTTGGATAAGTTTTGATAGTGCTTGAGCCTTGTACCAAAAGCACTCTTGTTTCGGCTCATAAATATAACATGTGGTTGAATATAAGCATAGAATGCTTAATAACGTAAGTATGCTTTTAAGTCGCTGTAAAAATGCAGTGATATATTGGCATTGAACTTGTGAGAGCATCAAAGTTTATTTGCATGTTCAGTATATACTCTCTCCCTCCAGCTCATGGTTTCTCTGTTCAGTTTTCACTTCCAAAATAAGTACCACACTGTGTACTTAGCCAGGGCTGTGCAGGCTCTGCAGGCCAGGCAGGAGTGCACTCCTGCCCTTGCTCCACCACAGTTTACCATTCAGATTACACCAAGTACCTGGTGTTACCAAAACTCTGCTCGTTGGCTTTGGGTAAGAGCAACACATGCAGATTTATAACCAGTGACGAGTGTTCATTATCTGGTGAGAAGCGTGTTTATTTACACAGAAACCCTGGCCAGTATCTTACTCCACCACCCCACATCCATTATAAAAGCAGTGTGTAATCTTAAAAAGATACCAGAAAACCCCCAAACTTGCACTGCATCCCACCTGTGGTGTTCCTGGGTGTTTGAAAGTGGTGTTTTCACTTTTTGTTGTCTATTGTGGGACTGTTCTGTATACAAGTGTCAAATAAGCTTTTAGAGGTTAGGATCGCTTGCTGTAGATTATTGCTTTAGGGATGGTTTCCCCCTCTTTCCAAAGGAAGGTGACAAAGGGATTGCCACCAGAATGCAGGAGCTCGCCCTCAGTGAAGGCGCCTTGCCGCGGCACCTGCACACCGCCATGTTCACGATAAGTGCCGATCAGAGGATGCTCACGAATAGGTAGGTCAGACTTGACTTGCTAGAATTCACTTTCTCTTTAAAGAATTGAGTGAGGTACAAAGTAACACAAACTAAACCAGGGCTTCCAAAGCCCCCGTAGGGTTGTATCTGATCTCTTGGACTGCTGATTGGAAGGCCAGTTGTTTGAATCTGCTGGCAATTCTGAGGGAGATGGGTAAAGATTAACAGCCTTGTTCCTGAGAGGACAGAGGGATGCAGGAAGAAGATACTTCCTTGGTATTGCCAGGTTAGCAAGGCCGGGCAATGTCCTACACTAAAATAAATGGATGTCACATTCCATCGAGAGCCCATGTTAGCCATGTGCATGTTCTTGTCTTTACCATAGTGATTAGTTACATTCTTGGCCGTGGTCAGTTAGCATGTTGAAAATGCTTCTGTCTGATAGAAGTGCCAGTCTTTTCCTTCCTTGCTTTATCATCTGTAAGAAGCAGCACTCTTCTCGTCTTCTTGAGCAGGTTAAGAGTCACTGACAACCTCACAGGTGTCAGAGATGCAAATAACTGTGTAATTACTTTGACATGTTAGTCTCAGAACAGGCACGACACAAAACAGGTTTTTGTAATGGTCACTTTTTCTTGATCCAGTCTTAATGTTGCTCTTGAACTTTGTTCTCTGGAACTAGAACACATGTATCTGTGTGTAAATACAGACGTGGTTAGGAACATGGGGGGCACAAAATAGCCTACATGTTGAATGTCTCAGCCGCTCCACAGATGAGTAGTTGCCTCCCGTCCAGATTTACAGCCTAGGAAACCCAGTGGGAGGCGGTTGCAGTGCGAGTCGGAATCCACTCAGTGGTCATAGCGTCCAAGGTAGTTGGTCCTTCCCTTGGAGCTCTCACCCCCACCAATAGCAGATGGGAACTAGCCCTTCCCAGGGTGCCTAGGAGCCATCATCGATAAAGCAGCATTCGTGAACAGCTCCTGGTTTAAAAGCAAATGGTATAATGGGAATTGAGATTCACAGATTACCTCATCATCGATTCAACATGGATCTTGGATTTTCATTTTGAACTGGAATATGCTTTTAGATTTTGAAAGGGAAGAGTAGGGTCATTTTCTCTGATGTAGGCCTTTTTCCAAATTTCAAAACAGAAAATATATTCTATACTACAAGACTGTCTTATTTTGACCCAGCAGTTCTATTACTGGGAATACACCCTAAAGAAACCAGAGCCACAACTCTAAAAGATGTATGCTCACCCCTGTTTATTGTTGTATTATTCACAATAACTAAGAGATGGAAGCACCCTAAGTCCCCAGCAACAAACGAATGGATAGAAAAACTATGGTACATTCGTACAATGGAATACTACTCAGCATTGAAACCCATTGATTTTAAAAAACATTACACAGCATAGGAGAGCCTGGAGGACATTATGCTGAGTGAAACATCCCAGTCACAAAAGGACAAATACTGTGAAAAAGGACACCACTGTGAGAAAATAAAACAGACGTGGGGTGTTGGGAGAGATTGAGGAAGGAGTGGGTAGATAATGAATATTGTCTTAGAACAGATGAGGAAAAGGACTGTCCGAAAATGTGGCTATGCGTTATATGTGTCTTAGTAATCTGAAACAAGGGGTGCCTTGTGGGGAGGACTCGGAAAGGGGAGGGGGAGAGGGAGAAGAAAATGGGCAAAAATGAGTAAAAATGGTGAAAAAGAAATCTTGTATCATAATTAGTGACCATTCCTTATGTTTAGAATTGCAGTTGTGATCACTGTATTAAGACTTGTTATACGCTATGATCTTTCCCTCTCTCTCTCTCTCTCTCTCTCTCTCTCTCTGTGTGTGTGTGTGTGTGTGTGTGTGTGTGTGTGTGTGTGTGTTAGGGTTTTCTGCTTAAATTAAGTAAACTTTTTTTTTTTTGTTCTGGTCCATTGAGAATTTGTGAACTTATCAGGGATACATTTTGATTTGAAGAAAGTTTCAAACGTTAGTGATACTTAAATGACTATCTAAAATACTCTTGAGAATGAAAGTACCCATTTTCAGGGTTTAGATTTTAAACCCCAGAGTGGGTGTTTACTGTATCCATATTTCTTATAATTACGTTATTTTGTTCTTAACAATCCTTTTCTGTTCTAGCTGAGATAAAGCCGCAAACCTTTCTCAATTTCTGCTTTTTTCAGACAGCTAAGTAGGCATTTAGTGGGACTCTGGACGGCCGATAATGCAACTGCTGCAAATTTGTTGAAACGCATTTTGGTAAGTCTTTGGGAAACGTGCAAAAATTTGTCTTTTTTTGTACAAGAAGAAGTTAAGTTTAGAATTTATCACAGGAATTGCCATATGCTCAATACTACCCTCAATAACAAAACCACAATGTTGATTTTGTTTGGGTTTGTCTTTTTTTTTTTTAATTTTAAATTGATTTTCATGGAAGTTTACAGAGACTGGATTTCCATTCATTCATTATTGCAGATTTTATTTTGGTATTTTAAGACTAGTCTTCTTTTGTGCAGCCAAAAGCAGAATGTGTATTTTGTTTTGTTTTTAGCCACCAGGCTTGCTAGCTTACTTGGACAGCTCAGACCCAGTCCCTGAGAAGGATACTGACCGGATGCATGTAAGAGATAACGTGAAGATCGCAATGGTAAGAGGCCTTCCCGGGTGGCAGGGCGTGATCGCTTACTCTTTTGTGAGACACACTGAAAATGTAAAAAAGTAAAACAAGAATTCACAGCATTGAAAAGCATATGCTTTATTTTTTGTTTATTTATTAATGCCATAAAATTCAATTGCTTTTATGGTACAGTTTCTTATATGAATAGGACTGTGCAGCTATCCGTTATATTTGGTAAGAATATTCTTAGCATTTCTTTCTCTAACTCAGCTTTTTGTCACATTTAGGGAGAGTTTTGTCTTTGTTTTTAGTTAAGATCTTTAATGGGACCTTTTTCATGTGTTATATCATTGCTACATATTGATGGAAGGGCCAGCACTGAGAGAGTTAGCATAGGTAGGACTGTTCTCCATCAGGACTCAGCGTAACTGTTGGAGTTGGGCATCCCGGGGGAGGGGTGTTCACTGTTAGTCCTTCCTACCCTCACACCTACTCCCGGGTCTGCTCTCCTCTCCCGCCCATCGGGAAAGAGCACCCTACCATCCAGATAGGAAACATGAGGATTTTTGTAAAACTTCTTTTGCAAATATACACACCTTGGCTTCAGTGAGTACTGACATCCAGTATTTGTTTTCTCCTGTAAAATTGTACTGAGACTCAGTTTTACTTAGATTTTTTTAAGAGATTGAAGTTTGCAAACAAGGCTATAAGCATGGTAACATTGTTTTGCAGGATCAGTATGGAAAGTTCAGTAAAGTTCCTGAGTGGCAAAGACTGGCTGGAAAAGCTGCTAAAGAAGTTGAAAAATTTGCCAAAGAAAAAGTGGATCTTGTGCTGATGCATTGGAGAGATAGAATGGGCATAGCTCAGAAGGAGGTAAAGGCCCCCTGCCCCCAAGTCCTGGCGCTTCTGTGTGCTCGAGTTGTCTTGTATGCTTGTTGTTCACTTGGTGCTGCCAAGCGAACGTCTGCAGCTGAAGAAGAAACAGCAGCTCACTCTGATTCGTATATTTACATAGATTTTCCTTCCTTTTCATTCCATAAAAGATCAAAATTTAGTGAAATACTAGTATATAATTAGAGAGATATTTAATTGCCTCTTCCATAACTTCCCGTTTCCATATTATACATACATATATATATATTCTTCCTCCTTTGAACTTGTTTGCTGCTAAGAAAATAAAATTACTCTTCTGACTGGCTTTTAAAAAAATTCAGAACTAGTTAGACAGAAGTTTTGGAAAAGTTATTTACGTTTTAAAAATTTGCTTAGTGCTTGGGTTTATCCACGTTTGCACTTCAGCAATCAGTCAGGCTAACACCGTTTTAGTCTTATTCTTCACATCTAGAATTGACTTTAGCAAAGCATGTATTTCTATTGAAGAACTGTAGTTAAGAGTGCACTTAAGAATTCTAGAAAAGCCAGTATCATCCTATCGCCATCAGCTGTTTTCAGTCTTTAGAACTTGAGTCTGATGGATTAATGCTAATTTGTATGCATGATGTTTGTGGTAGGAATTGTCAGACAGACTTTAAAACAATTAACTAGAGTCAGAAGAAGAGCTGATTCTGAGAGGGTTCTTCCTCTGGGCTCGGTTCTTGTGCTTAGCTGTGTGACACTGTGGGTTTACGAACTTTCCTTTGCCTTTGTGAAACCAGGATAACAGAACGTCCCATCTCAGAGACACAGAAGGAAATGAGGTGAAGTGTAGTGTACCTCCAGGCAGAAGCACTGTGGAGGGGTGTCTGGCCAGGGCGAGAGAGAGAGCAGGAGTTAGCAAGTGGATGGGGAAGGGCATGCACAGTGAGTGTTCAGTGGGACGTTGTAAATAATGGCATGTGTTGTTAGGTGCCGTCGAGTCGCTTGCGACTCATAGTGACCCTGTGTACAACAGCCCTAAACCCTGCTCTATCTCCAACATACCTATCTCCATTACCCCAGTAATGGAATCAGTCCACCTCATAGAGGGTCTTCCTCTCCTGCACTGTCCCTCCACTCTCCCAAGCACGAAGTCCCTCTCCAAAGACTGGTCCCTCCTTGCAACATGTCCAAAGTATGTCAGACGAAGCTTCAGAATCCTTACCTCCAAGGAGCAGCCTGGCTTCACCCTCTCCAGGACGAACTTGTTAGTTCTCCTAGAAGTCCATGGTATATTCAATACTCTTCTCCAGCACAACGGCTCAAAGGCATCAATTCTCCTTCTGTCATCCCTAGTCATAGTCCAGCTCTCTAATGCATAGCAAGTAATGGCAAAGACTATGGCCTGTATTAGGCACACCTTAGTCTCCAGCCTGACATCATTGCTCCTCAGTACCTTGGAGAGGTCTCTGACAGCAGACTTTCCCAATGCAATTATTCTTTTAATTTTGTGGCTGCTGGTACCAAGAGTGTTGATTGTAGAGCCAAGAAAACTAAAGATGTCAACAATCTCAGTGTCTTCACCATCTGTCATGATGCTGCCAATCGGCCCAGTGGTGAGAATCTTTGTTTTCTTGATGTTGTGCTTCAATCCATATTGAAGGCTGCAGTCCTTGACCTTCTGCAGCAAGCACTTCAGGTCTTCCTCAGTTTCAGCAAGCAGGTTTGTGTCATCTCCATAATGCAGATTGTTGATAAGTCTACCTCCAAAAAGAAAAAAAATGGCATATATGTAACTATAATTATTGTTATAGAATGTAAATATTTAAGCAACTGAATGAAAGCCAGTAAAAAAGGAAAATAGAACAAAAAAACCCTCCCTTCTCTGTCCTAACGGGGTTTCTTTAAGGCACTATATAAATGTATTATGATCATTTTGCCACCGTATGTGAAGAGCTGACATCTGCAACTATAGTAGCATGATTTTTAAGAGTTACTAAAAATTGTGCTCTTGGTTGGCTTCAGGTAGTTAAAATGGCAGTTCTACAATAATTGTTAAAATTGTAATTGTATCCTGTTAAAAGTAACTTTCTAGCATCTTTTCATATGTAACAATTGTTGAGGGAGTGATTGAACACAAAGCTATTTTAGCTGGAAATAAAATTTTTCTTATTAAAGGGCAATAATTCAGAAGGAAAAGAGAGTATTTCAGTGCTGATATGCTTGTGTCATGTACCACATGGAATGTTCTTTAAAGATTTGAGCAGATGATGTTACCAAATAGATAAGCTGGTCAGAGACTGACCATGATCCTGTCAGGTGATTATCATCTCTGCTGAGGTACTGTGTTTAACATTCATGTCTTCAGGAAGCGGTGGACAGTCTTTCACTGTTTTATATATGGAAATGATAACATCCAAATAGTCATACTGTGGTTTCCTAGAGCGTTCAGATCTAACCACTGTGAAGATTTAACTGTCTAGTCGTAAGTCTGCATTGCTTATGTAATTGGAACCCTTATGAGGTTTGGGGCTAATGCTCAATATTAGGTTATTAGTACCTTTCCCCGTTTTTCTTCCTTCCTATTTGGGGATTTAGTTAAATAGTTAGGCTCATAGCTATAAATCAGTCCATTTCATTTTATGGATACTGTTTGTCATTTTCTGCATAGCTTCTGTATTTCTGTTGCTTAGGACTGACTGATACCTTTGTTTGAATCTTGTGAGAAGGCAGGAGCTTTGAAGAATGTACTTCATAAATAAAAGTTTAAAGGATGAATTTTTTTCCCTAAAACCAAATTTCTGAATTCTTTCTTTACATTAGGCCAACTTTGCTTGAATTTTAGTGACAGTACACAGATCTTGTATGAAGTGTTTTTCTTTATGTAATGGATTATAAAAAAACAAAACTAAACCCACTTCCTTCATGTCGGTTCCGATTCACAACTCCTCCTGTGGTTCTGAAGTGGTCGATCTGCCCTGAGGAGCCCCAGTGCTTCTCCTCAGAGCTGCTGATGGGTTCCAGTAGGTTCCACCGTCCTCTCCAGTTCACAGCCCGACACGTGATATACTTACTGCCACCACTGCTCCTTACAGAATCGACAGTACTTAAAAATTTTGTATTGCCTTCTTATTTCCCATTTTTTAGGTTTTATATTATTTGGTACTTTTTAAGTGAAATTATAGACTTCATTTTTTTAACTATGGTGCAACTGTTTCTGCTTTTTGCATTTATCACTCTGAAAACTTGGAATTTTTGTGTCTGAAGTGTTTACACTTTACAGGGAGCAGGGATTCGATTGTCTCTTTTTTAACTTTTTTCCCCCATTCATTGTTGCATATTCTCCCTCTCAGCCCAACCCCCCAACCTACCAGTGCACCCCTTGCTCCCACTTGTTGTCATACATATAATACGTAATCATAATTCCTTTTCAGACATTTCTTCCCCTCATCTTTTCTACTGCAGTGTTACTTATGTATCTACTAGTCTTTTCCCATTCTCTCCCCAGCCCTCCCATGTCTGCCTGATTTGTAACAGTGCTGTACAGTTATACAGTGTTATACGGTGTTTATCTTTTTGTGACTGAGATTATTTCACTCAGCATAATGTCCCCAGACTCTACTATGTTGTGTAATTTTTTACATATGAATGTAGCATACTTTTTCTATCCATTTGTTAATTGGCACTTGGGTTGCTTCTATTTCTTTGCTATTGTGAATAACACAACAACAGTAAACATGGGTATGCATACATCTGTTTGAGTAGTGGCTCTGGTTTCTTTAGGATGTATTCCCAGTAGTGGAATTGCTGGGTCAAAATGTATTTCTATTTCCAGCTTTTTGAGAAAGCAACAGATCACCTTCCATAGTAGCTGTACCGTTTTCCATTTCAGTCTCTCCACAGCTTCACCAGCATTTGTTTGCTGCTCTGTTGAACTTTGCTGTTGTTGCTGAAGCAAGAGATTCTTGATCTCAACTCTGGATGCAAGCTTTAGGGCATCTCAGAAATCTTACCCTAAAGTTAGGAAACGTACACAAGTGCCTTTTCCTGCACATCTCTTCAGATTCTCAGCATGTTCTTGACTGCACACAAGTTGGTGCCATGGTCTTAGAGAAGCAGGTGGGCCTTGTTCTGTTACAGAGTGAAGGTGATTCATAGTCACAGCATCTGTCTGTCTGGAATTTATGTAATAGCGTTTAGCAGGTTGAGCCTTGCGGTTTTATTTCTGTTTTCTTTAATTTTTTTTTTATAATTTTTTTCCCCTTTTTATTCTTAAATTCAGGACAGAAACAGTTTGGTGAGTTTAAGCTCTTGCTACCTGTGTGAGATGCACCCAGTTGCCTGGCATGTGGGGAGTTGTCTTTGTCTAGTAAATTACAGTCTTATCTCACATATGTCTGGACGTAGAGACTTCTTACTTTATCAGCCATTGTATTGCCTTCTCTTGGCCTTGGTGTTGGTTTAAGAAATCTGTCACTTTGTGCATTTGTTGTTTCCCATGTCTTATATTAACTGCATGTAAATATTTGGATAAGTCATTGTTTTTGGCTGCTATATAAATTTCATTAGTAAACTAAAATTGGTGTTGGAACAGAATATGGAAAATATTTTAGCGACACTGTATAGAAATACATGCTGAAAAGTTAGAATAGCATAATGTCATGCATATAAATATCTTAAGTTTTACTTGTTTCATTAAGTTTTGTTTCTGCTGAAATTTGGTAATTTACATTTTCTCATTATTTGTAGTTAACCAACTGCACTTACTTAGTAGCCTCATATTGAGCACTGTGAAATTTTTTCCTCTTCTAGAATATAACTCAGAAGCCAGTAGTTCTTCGAAAAAGAAGACAAAGAATAAAAATAGAAGCAAACTGGGATCTCTTCTACTATAGGTAATCTGTGGCCTCTTTTCTAACTTGGATTAGATTTTTCACTGCTATCAGAAAAATCCTGCAATTTTCCTTCTCTGGAACTAGTGTTTTATACCATAGATGGTTTTATGTTGCTAATACTAAGATCTGTGACTGCTAAGAGTTATTTAATCAGTGCTGCTTCTATAAAATACAAACTCTATCATGTTGACAGCCTAAAGATCTGGATTTATTTTAAAATTTTTTTAAAGCTCAGAGAGGGCTATGTTAAGCCCTTTATAAAGGCTTGGCAGTAACTGCATGCTCAAGATAAAGAAGAGGTGGCAGGGGAGGTGAGCGTGCTGACTCCCCCTCAGCATTTCTCCCTCTGCTGACATGGTCACCTCTCTGCCCGTGCATACTCTCAACTCTGGAGCACACCTGCAGCAGGACACACCCCTCACGGGACAGGAGTCTGCCGCTCTCGGAGATAACCCAGAGGATTTAGTGTGTAATCTGTTAGTCTATTCATTGGATTACGCAAGACGTAATATGAAAGTAGATCGGTGGATTGAAAACTTGCCAGAATTCATGGAGAAGCAGACAAAAGTCGGCCTCCGTGGGAGCGCTGTAACTGACTTGTGCTGGCCCTGGCGAAGGTGCTCGGAGGCTGTGAGGTGCCTGGGGAGAGATTGCGTGTCCTTCTCCTTGTTGAATTCAGACTTCAGGGAGGCACCTCCCTTTCCTTAGCGTGGAAACTTTGAGATCAGTCTGTCCATCTGGGTACACCTTCGCCAAGGTGTGATGTGAAAAGACAGATGTAGGTGATTTGAACACTTCGCAGGGTGTGAGAAAGTCCGTGGTAAACGGGCACAGGTGACACAGCTTGAAGTATGTGCTGGTTTCTCCTACGAGTCCCTTGGAGTGTTGCCATGACGGGACCTTCTGGGACCTGGAAAAAGCCTGTCTAGGGGCACTGCCGATTCCCTCCAGTGCAGCCCTGTGTCCACAGTAGTGGAGGAGTGGGGTGCTTGGGATATCCTGTCAGCTGAAGCAGTTCAGCAGAACTCTTTCTTGGGTCATCTTCAAGATGCGCAATTAATGGTGTTCCTTCACCCACTTGCCTCGGACCTAGTAACCCATCTGTTCTCTTCACAACAACAACTGTGACATTTGACAGCAGGGTTGTTTTTTTAAGAATGAATATTGAGGTAACAACTCGTTCTTTTTTAGTTCACATATTTGTGTTATAGTTTATATCTTTTTCCTCCAACAGTTTAGGAAAATTATGAAAAGTTTCAGCCATATAGAAATGGTGAATTAATTTTATAGTGAATTCCTATATGGGTACCAACCATAAAGACTTACTAACACTGTATTTGCCTTATAGATTTAATTCCTTATTTCCATTTGTTAACATGAATTTTCACCGTTTCCTTGTTTTATTATTGAATGTATTATGATGGATCTTTGGCACTTTAATTTTAGTACTTACCATGTCTTTTATTCTAATTATATATGTGCCCAGGTTTAGTCAAGACCATGCCAGATCAAACCTAATTTGGAATTTCAAAACACGAGAAGAACTGAGAGATACTCTTGAATCTGAAATGAGAGCGTTTGCTATTGATCGAGAGCTTGGTAGCTCTAATGTAATCTCGTGGAATCACCATGAATTTGAGGTAAAGCTTAGTGTTTGTACTCTGTTAGTCTTTAAAAAGTCTGAATTTATTTCCAGAGTGATTTTTAAGAATCTGTGAATAACTATACAATGTGGGCTTCCTTTCCCTCTGCTGAGGGCAGTCTACTCTCCACTGTCTGGCTCAGAAGTGTTAGGTTAGACTACGGCTCTCAAACGACTCTCTGCTTCCACTTTCTTGCTGTTATCTGAGTAGTAAGTGTCTAGAGACCTGTCTTTCAGACTTGTCTTTTATTCTTTCCTTAAACCAACTTCTCTTTTAACCTTCCTGTTCTTCAATAATCGCTACTTGAAATCATTTCTCCTGTGCTCCAAATCTAGTTTGTGAACACATCTGTTAGAACATCTCAGAACCTCTCCAAAACTCAACTCTTTTTTCTAGCAATTTAGAGCATTCGGGCCCCTCTCTCCACCCGCCTCCTCTGGTCTCCTCCGGTCTGCGCTCGGGCAGGTCCTTTGCCCCCTTCTCCGGTCTGCTCTGGTCTGCTCTCAGACCAATCCTCTGCCTGCATCCTCCTCTGCCCGCCTCCTCCGGTCTGCTCTCAGGCAGATCCTCTGCCCGCCTCCTTCGGTCCACTCTCGGGCCGGTGCGCACCAGTGAGGTTCTGTCACTCTTCTCAGAACTCCCTGCTGCTCCTGGTGCTGTCATCTCACCAAGTAAAGGCCCAGTTCACTGGGGTCTCTGATTTCATGACCCACTGCACTCCTGCTGGCCACCTTCCTCAGCCACCGACTTCCTGAAGAAGAGTAGGTCTGGGTTCTTGCCCCAGCACCTTGCTGTTCGCTGATCCTTGGCTCCGTTTGTCAGCTCTGCTCTTTGCCGACAGCATTGTGCAGGAGAAACACATTTTCAGTCTGCTTTAGGTCTTATCTTGAACGTCTTTGCCTGAGCCGCCTGCCCTGAGGTTTAGCGTGCAGCTTCTTCACTCCATGTGCACACCCTCATGTTTCCCCTTTACTTCCCTGTTTCGTTTTCCTCCACAGCACTTACTACAGCTCCAGAATCATAGATCTTTTCCTCTTTTATTTGGTACCTGCTTGAAGGGGATTTCTGGTGGCCTGTTGGGTAAGGAGCTGCGCTGCCAACCCAAAGACAGTGGTTCAAAGCTGTTCTAGGGGAGGAAGATGGCAGTCTCCTGTGTGATTGACAGCCTTTGAGAGCTCGCTGGAGGGCCAGCTGCGAATTGGCTGACTTGATGGCACTAGGAATGAGGCCTCTGGGGCGGAATTTTCCCATTTGTTACAGTAGTCTGAGCTCTGCACCATCATGTCACACACTACTACATGCTTAATAAATAGCAGCAGAATCCGTGAATGTTTACAGTTGATAGAAAGCAACAGGAATGGTATGTGTGTGGTTTCTTTTTATGTAATGTTATTTGAAAACGCTATTTTTAGGGTTTGGTGGGGGGAAAACCCTTTAGTCTGGGGAATCCTTTTTTATTTTATCCTTTGACTTTTTATTGTGATTTGAATGGACGTTTACAGAGAAAATTGCTTTTGTTTTCTCCCCACCTGCGCTCCTCACCTCGTAACAGCAAGCTTCCCCGCTCCTCCGTGGGGTCCTCATCTATTCTGCCTGTCCTGCTCTTCCTGCCTGTGGAGCCCCGTGCCAGGACACATGGCCCCCAGTCCTCAGTGGGGCCATCCCTGGAGTCCTTGTCTGTTCTCCGTGTCCTGTCTTGTGGAGTCTCTTGCCGGGACATATGGCCCATGTTGACTCGTGTGGTGGGTTGCCTCGTGGTGTTACTGCTCATCATAGGGACTTGTCTAGTCTGGCTGAACACTGAACCACAGCATGAGTCTGGGCTCAAAGGGTAGTGACAGGCCGAGGCCCCAGGGTTGCTGGGCTCTGTCAGGCCAGTGTGCCTGCACGTTTCTACCATTATGATTTTAAATTTGTTCCACATTTTTGTGCTGCTCCATCCATGGCCCCGGGCTGTATGATCTCTTAGATAGTCAAGAGCGGTGGTCAGGCACTGTCGCACTCTCATCTCAGGTATGAAGTTTGAAGTTACATGGTCTGTTACCCCTTTGAAATAAACGCTTCTCTACATCTTTGCTTTTCTTCACTCTTCTTTGCTCTAGACAAGAAAACACTACTAGATACCTCATAGATACCTGCTCAGAATAAATACAGTCATAGACAGCCGCTCACAGTAATCATAGATGATGGTGATGATGATGACGACGACGACATTGTTATGTGCCATCGAGTTGTCTGCACCTCATAGTGACCCTGTGTACAACAGCTCTGAAGCCTGTCCTGTCCTGAGCCAGTCTCACTGACTCTGACCACCTGCCCTCATTGCCCCAATTACTGGGTCAGTTCCTCACATCAGAGGTCTTCGTCTCTGGCACTGTCTCTCCACCCTTCTCCAAGGACTGGTCCCTCCAGCGATGTGCCCAAAGTATGTGAGACGGAGCTTAAAAATCCTAGCCTCCAAGAAGAAACTTGGTTTCACCCTCTCTGAGACAGACCTGTTTGTTTGCCTAGCAGTCCATGGTGTATGTTCAATACTCTTCTCCAGCACCAACTCAAAGGCATCAGTTCTCTCATCCTTAGTCATTGTCCAGCTGTCGGAATCATAGCTGCTTACAGTGGTCACAGATACAATCTTGAAAGTTTTTAAGGTCTCAGCTGCCCAAGTAGGCTAGAAGATTGTCTTGATGGGCTTTGTTATGCTCATAGAGCTAGGACTTTTGTGTACCCTGCAGCTGTAGTACTGGACCCTAGGACCAGCACTCATTCCTGCAGGTGTTTGATTACAGTGAAGAAGGATGCATCTCTGCCCCTTGTTGACGCTGCTCTGTGCCTGGGTCTCTTTACCCCCTGGACAGATATGTATGTAGAAATAGTCTGTCAGACTCTCACATTCCCACGTCTGATTGTCTGGCATCTCCCCACGTGTTCCCATGTTGCTTAGTGCCTTTTGCTGCGGGGAGTGCAGGTGCTGCCGCGGGGAGTGCTGCTGTGGGACTTTGTGCAGTAGGCTTGCCTCTGTTGTCTCTGCCCCTGTTGTACCTCCATCTTGTCTTCCTGTATGATCCTGTGTTGATCACAGAGGACTGCTTTTTCTAATCCTTTAAAATCCCTTTTCAAGGCATATAGCCTGAGCCCCAGGGCAAGGGTGCTGCCCCATCTCTTGAACTTGGACTCCTCCTGATGGAGCATTTCTATCTAGCTAGTAGCCTGCCACATTTGATGTGCAGAAAATGTCTATTATATAGGATGGAATGGGACAGACCTAGGCACCTCAGCATGGGAGCTAGGGAGAGTATAGGTAAGGGAGACCTGAGCTCCTGTGTGAGGTGGGCACAGGGGTACTGTGGGCAGGACACCTGACTTAATTAGCACAGGTCAGGGAGGGGAACCTCACACTCACTCTCACACACATACACACTCTCACGTATACTCTTTCTCTCCTGAACCTTCATTGGTGTGGGTAGTCCTGTGACAATTTTCATTGGCAAGTTTTATGTTTGAAAAATTGATAGAAAGTCCTGTTAACATTTGACAAAGACAATAAATAATACTAATAATAATGAATTCACAGCTTAATCACTGATTGGTTTTATGATGAGCTGTTAAATCAATTAAAAAAAACCCAATTGAAAGAAGCAATTACCATTTCTTTTCTTCACTGCTACGGGATTTAATAGGGAAGTCAAAAGGCTGTATAATTCAGGTTGGAAGCATCATCTAATTGCTCTGTCAGAAAGAAGCAGTTTTTGTGTGAACATTGGCCAAAAGTCTGTTATAAACTAAAATGAAGTTACTTTTATTAATAAAGGTTAAATATGAGTGCCTGGCGGAGGAAATCAAAATTGGAGATTACTACTTGAGGTTACTGCTGGAGGGCGATGAGACTGAGGACAGCGGGTCAATAATGAAACCGTAAGCTGCACTCATATAGCCCTTCTGCTGTTGCCCCTTTTGGTCTCCTGCTTGTTTTTATGAATTTTTCTTTTCATTTAGGTATGAATTTTTCAATGAGCTCTATCATCGTTTTCTGCTCACTCCAAAAGTAAACATGAAGTGTTTGTGTTTACAAGCCCTTGCTATTGTTTATGGCAGATGTCATGAAGAAATTGGACCTTTTACAGATACGAAATATATTATTGGAATGTTAGAAAGGGTAAGGATATGTGGGTATCATTAAAGTATGTTAGATTTTTATTTGAATTTTAAAATTAAACTTGTGTTTGAGTTTGATTATGACTGTGGATGAGGACTTTTCCAGAACTTCATGACCTAGGAAATGGTGTATTTATCGTTTTTCCCTCGCTCCCTTTGAACACGTTTCCTCTCTCCTCTCTCCGTCTTGCAATGGTTGAGCTGTGCAGACTTGTCACTAGCTGTGTAGCCCTTGAGTTTCCATTTGGAGGAAAAAAATCTTAACACTAACATACTAAAAATAATGTACCTTTATAGTTACAGTGAAGTATTTTAAAACTATCAGTAAACAAAAGAAATGAAACTTTGTGTCAACATTTTTCTTTAAAGAAAGTTCTAAAACTTTGGCAGGTTTTAGAAAGCTTGTTATTAACATTTAACCTGTGTTCAGAGAGAGAGGACAGATTCATTCATTCACCATAAAACTCAGCATTGAGTCCAGTGTCTGGGATTTTGTTCTCCCAGTTTTGCTTATATTTCTTTTGCGTGTAACAATTTAACTTTCAGCGAAGCTGCCTTAACAAGAATCATTTTGCAGTTTTTAAAATTAGTTCTCTGTCTTGATCTGGGTTAAGGGAGCAAAATTAATGACGTGAATCTATAAATATCTATATTCCTATGTTCCATCAAGTCAGAACCGAACCACAGCTGACCTTCCAGCAGGTTTTCAGAAGGAACAAATTACGTGACAAGAGATTGCCCATCTTTCTCCTGTGGAGCAGCTGGTGGATTCGAACCACCTGTCTTTGGGTCCACAGCGTAGCTCCTTATCCACTGAGCCGTCAGAGCTCCCTCTGAATACCTACAGTGAGATTTCTCTCAAGGAAATGGCTCACACAGTTGTGGAGACTGACAGGTCCCACGTAGGCACGTGGTGCCAGCAGCAGTCTGACGAATGCCAGCCGAGGTGCACACTGGGGTCCTCTGCTGGCTCACGTGTGCAGGATCTGTGACTCCAGAGTGTGCAGGTGAGCAAACAGTCCAGAGACTCCTGAAGGTTACTTCCTAGGAAGCAGCGTTAGCCAGCGAGGAGAAAGCAGGGTGGGGAGAGCGAGCTTAGGGAGGACATCACTTAGGGACTGGACTTGTGCACAGTGGAAGCACGGCATGGCATGCCAGTGACCGGCCAGCAGAGCGGCACTGGCACTAACCGAGTTGCTCCATTCTTGTTGTAACTGTCCAGCAAGTGAATCCTGTGGGTTAGAATGTGGATGCTGAGTGAGCGCCAAGGAAGTAGCCTGGCTCAGACCATCCTGTGTGCTGGTAAACCTGTGTACTCTTGGCCTCTGACGCTCTGTGCTTCTGGTGGCCCTGAAGTACCGTGGCAGGCACTCTCCTGGGCTCACCTTCCACAGAGAGGTACAGGGTCTCCTTGCTGGTTCTGATGTGGTTGTGTAAAACATCATTCATCAGCTCTTCAGAATTTTTATGTAGTTTATGAATGCGATTGAATCCACTCAGTGTTTCTCATGACTTTAAATACAACTCCCTTTCCAAGAAAACTAGTTGAGTTACATGAAATTGCAGAAAACGTAAGACATTGAGAAATTGCAGTAATTGTTTAAACCAAAACCTGCTTCCCTCCAGTGGCCTCAATTCACGGTGTCCCTGGGTCAGTTGTGAGGCTCCTGGTCAGCCGTGGGGCTCCCAGGTCAACCATGGGGTTCCTGGCTCAGCCGTAGGCTCCTTCTGAGGCTCCTGGGTCAGCCGTGGGGCTCCCAGGTCAACCATGGGGTTCCCAGGTCAGCCGTGAGGCTGGAGTCTCAGTGGGTGCGCACTGCTTCCTTGCTTGCTGGTGGAGTGACCGTGGACTTGCTCTGCAGGCCTGGTGGTCCTACAATCCCACTAAGGATGCATTCCAAGGGCAGTGTCAAGGATGAAGAGATGACCTGATTTCCACTGCCATTGATTTTTTTTTTTTGTCCTGTGATAGTAAAATCCTAATATGTTTTTGTTTTTTATAGTGTACAGATAAACTGGAACGGGACAGATTGATCCTCTTCCTCAATAAGTTGATCCTTAATAAGGTACAGTGTTTTTTGCATAAATGTTATTATTTCTAAGTAGATTGTATATTTTGAGTTAATTATTTAGAGGTGGTTCTTTACCTTCTTTTAATTCAGAAAATTCTAATTTCAGTTCTTAGGAGGATAAGTTGGTACAAAGTTATCATTTGTTTACCCTGCCCTAATGTCACAGATGCTGAATGAATTGTTGAGTATAAAATTTGATAGGATAATAATATAATAATAGGTAAAAAATGATAAAAATCATTACCTGTTTTTTTCTTTAAGGAATTGTTAAGATTAAATTTTAAATAAAGTGAGTACTTAATGTAAAACGTAAAATAAAAAAACACCTTTGTGTATATTTTAATAGTAGGTATTATATATAGGTAATTGGAAACATAATATCCTAAAAAGGAGTGAAGTACAATATGCTTGTCTGTCTTTTTAATTCAGGTGAATTCTTTGCTGTCTGAGCTCTTCACCAAAAGACATTTTAATGTGTTTGTCGTGTTTCTAACAAGACTTCATAGTTAGATAGCATAACTATATAAGTATAGGAGATAGGGAAGATATTTAAGCAGAATTTGGTGATTTTCTTTCTTACATTTTTCATATTAATACCAACTTGTTTAGTTTTTATTATCCCTTTTATGCTGCAAATACTTTAAAAATAAATTGTATTTTAAAAGTTCTTGGAAATTTTACTTTCCTTTTAATCATTTCTTAAGTTTATAAAAAAAGATTTTTCTCATTAGAGACAGTCTATTTAGTTTTAAAAGACCATGAAAATGTGAAATAAGAAAAAGAAAACACGATCCATAATTGTGGAACCATCAAGTTTATATATCCCTACTAAAGTGTGTAGGGAGCTCTGGGGGCTTACTGGTAAGGAATCACGCTGTCAGTGCGAAGGTACTCAGTTCAAGTGCACCAGCCGCTCTGCAGAAGAAAGATGGGCAGTCCCCTCTGTGGGAGTTACTGCCTCTGAAAGCCTGCAGGTGGATCAGGTGTAGGGTCACTTGTGACTTTATGGTACACTACATTTAGGCTTTATTTCAGGAGATAGAAGTGCGCGCGCGCGTGTGTGCGTATGTGGGTGTGTATCTATCTGTGTGTGTTTTGCTTTTTCTTAAAACATTTAAGAAGACAAAATGTATGTGGTTTCCGTGTAATCTGGCTTTGCCCTGTCAGTCATCATCTGAAGTCACACTCCTTTAACCCTGAGTCCTGTGAGTGCCAAGGAAGTTGCGTTCTGTGCAAGCTGGCTGTGCAGAGGGTTCAGCTGCTGTCTTCTTGGAAGTGGTGACTACTGGAGAGAAAGGCTTCAGATGAGGTAAAAATATGTGTCTTCCTGTTTCAGAAAAATGTGAAGGATCTGATGGATTCCAATGGCGTCCGCATCCTGGTGGACCTGCTCACCCTCGCTCACCTCCACGTCAGCCGGGCCACCGTCCCACTGCAGGTCTGGGCTTCTCACCCTTGGCGTGCTCAGAATGTAAAAGGAATGTGGGAATCTAACAGTGTGTCAGCTTGAAAGGGTTGAGTCAGTTTCTTCATTAATTAGCAGATAATTGCTGACAAGGAGGTGAAGTTACTTCAGAAACAGTGGGATCCTTAGAACAGGCTGAGCCAGACGGAGATTGTCCAGCTTACTTTTCCACTGTCTCTTATCTTCCCCTCTAAGGGGGCTGGTTTGACGTCGTGCCTGACCTCTGAAGTTGGAGCCAGATTCTCCAGTTAGGGAACTATACCTTTGAGCTGTAAAATTACTGAGCGTGCATTTTTGGCATAGGGTCCTGGGCTGTGTTGAAACTGTCCAACAAGAGAGCTACATGCCTTTGCTGAAGACCACTTCTCGTGCCTGAGTTATAAAAGGGTGTATATTTCGTCTATGGGTGATTGCTTTTCATCTTTCACTTGTTAATCTTTTGGTTTAAGGAGATGCACCTCAGTAGAATTGAGTTTAATTGTTAATATTTGAGTACTTAGAATATTGCATTTTCCATTACAAGGTGTGACTACTACTAATAAAATGTTTCCATAGTCTTCCATGTGCTCAGCACTATTGTGGACAGTGATTCGTCATCTCCTTAAACCACCCAGTATCCACATAATGGGATACAATCACTAGACTCCTTGTATAGGAAGACCGAAATGGATGTCAGAGAGACTCCAGATAATATTTCACTAAAATGCCAAGAAACCAGAGCAAGTGGAAGAAATCCGAAATTCAGGAGTTGAACACAAGATTTCAAAGGACAGCTCATGAAGACACAGCAGAATATTACAATAAAAGGTATAGAACTGGAATTGGAAGATCAAAAGGGGTAAACTCACTCAGTGTTTCTCAAGCTGAAGAAACTTAGGGACAAATGCAGGCCTCAAATTGCAGTACTTAAAGATGCTGTAGACAGAATATTGAACAATCCAAGAAGTCTTAAAAGAAGATGCAAAGAGTACTCAGTCAGTGTACCGAAAAGAATTGGCTAACACAGAAAAAATTCGTGAAACAACAAATGAAGGAATTGGCAAAAAAGAAAACCCTCAAAATTGATGGAGTACCAGCTGACATATTTCAGTAAGTAGATGCAGCCCTGGCTGTGCTCACCAGGTTATGCCAAGAAATCTGGAGGACAAATGCCTGGCTAACTGACTAGAAGAGATCCATATTTATTCCCATTCCAAAAAAGGTGACCCGACAGAGTGTGGAAATTATCAAACAATACCACATGCAATCAAAATCTTGCTGAAGATTATCCAAAACTGACTAGAACAGTATATCAGCAGAGAACCGCCAGAAGTCCATGTGGGTTTAAAAGAGGCCGTGGCACTAGGGACACCATTGCCAGTGTCAGAAGGATCCTAGCTGAAAGCAGGGAGAACATGAAAAATATCTTATTTGTACTTTATTGACTATGCAAAGGCATTTGATGGTGTAAATCATAACAAATTTTGGCTAACATTGAGAAGAATGCGAATCCCAAAACACTTGATAGTGTTCATGCAAATCTTGTACGTAAACCAGAAAGAAGTTGTCCAGACAGAGCAAGGTTAACACTGCATGGTTCAGGAACAGAATGCATCATGGATGTCTCCTTTCTCCATACCTTTTCAATCTGTGTGTGGAACAGATCCCTCAGGAGGCTGGACTCTGTGAGGAGGAATACAGCGTTAGGAAGACTCTTCAACTACCTGCATTACTCACTCAGAGGGCAACCTTGTTTACCAAAACAGAGGAGGCCCTCAAGCATTTGCTGGAGAGGGACAGGGACTGCAGTCTTCAGTGTGGATTGAAGCACATCAAGAAAACGGAGATTCTCACCACCGACCAATTGGCTGCATCATTATAGATGGAGAAGAGATTGAGGTTGTTAACAGTTTCATCCTGCTTGGATCCGTAGTCAAAAAATCAAGACTAATTGCACTTGGAAAATCTGTTGTCAGGGACCTCTCCAGTGTGCTGAAGGTCAAGTGTCAGTTTGGAGACTAAGGTGTGCCTGACCCAAGTCAAAGTCTTAACAGTTACTTGCATCAGAGAGCTGGACAGTGACTAAGGATGATAGAAGAATCGATGCCTTTGAGTTGTGGTGCTAGAGAAGTGTGTTGAACATTCTGTGGACCGCCAAAAGAACAAACAAGTCTACCCTGGAGAAAGTGAAACCAAGCTCCTCCTTGGAATCTCTTGACCCATTTCACATACTTTGTGAATAATCGTAGGAGGGACCAGACCTTGGAGGGAGGACATCATGATTGAAAGGGTAGAGGGTCAGTGCAGGAGAGGAAGACCCTGGATGAGGTGAATTGACAAAGTGACTGTGGTAATGGGGTCAGATGTGTCAAAGACATTGAAATTGGCTCAGGACAGGAGAGGGTTCAGAGCTACTATGCATAGGGTCACTGAGTCACATTCTACTCAGTGGTCCATAACAGCAGCAACAGAGTGAGATGAATATTGCTTACAGTCTCCCAGTAAAAGACAAAACCAGGAGGCTTTGCGCTCGGCTGTTCCTTTGGCGGAGCTCTGCTAGCAGGGTACATTGCTTATTGGGCTACTATCCGAAAGGTGGGTGGTTCAGACCTCCCAGCTGTCCCAAGGGGAGAGGTGGGCAGCCTTCTCCTGTAAAGATACACAGCCCTGGAACGCAGTGGAGCCTCAGCATTTGGAACCAACTTGATGGTAGTGGTCTTGGTTTCTTGGTTTTCCGTCTTTCTGTCATGACTTGCTGCGTTGGTGGCACAGTGTGGTAATCTGGCAACCTGCCAACAGAGCTGCTTCAGGAAGGAAGGAGCCAGTACCCTTCTGTAGCAGTGCACAGCTTCAGAGGCCCGCAGGAGGGCTGCGTGGAGTTGGAACCCACTTGCTGTCAGGGTCTGGTGGACGAATTAGAGGAGGCCTTGTGGTGTAAGGAGCTAATGATATGAAGCTGTGTTACAATCCCAAAGACATGCAGTTCAAATCCACCACTGCTTCACAGGAAAAGATGGCCAGTCTCGTCCTGTGCTGTTAACTGCTTCTGAAAACCTGCTGGAGGGCCAGCCGTGGGTCCGTTCCCACTGTACAGTGTACAAGCGGTGTAATGCCTGACGTGTCAGGTTGCTCACCAGAAGGCCAGCAGTTGGGCCCACCAGCTGCTGTGGTGAAGACTGAGAGAGAGGCTGTCTCTGCCTGTCAGTGTTGTTGCTGTGTGTTGTGGAGTCAGAACCAACCCAAAGCTGACCCTCCGGCAGATTCTCAGAAGCAGTAAATCCTACGGGAGCAGATTGCCCGTCCTTCTTCTGCAGAGCAGCTGGTGGATTCAAATTGCATTTCTTTGGAGTGACCCTTAGGCCACCGGAGTTCCTCAGAAATCACAGGGAGTCCCTGAGCCGGATGCCACAGGGGCCACGTGGCTTTGAATGTGGTGTAACTGGACGCAGTTACAGAGTGGTTAAACCTGTGTTATAATCAGGTGTTCTAACCACGTCACACCCTGATCCTAGATTCTCCTAACGCAAAGGGTGATAAAGATGACCCATGAGGGTAAGTGAGGACACTTGGAGAAACGTTTTGTGTTGGCACTGAAGTCTGCAGGATGTGATCTCAGATGTTCACTGCAGAGTTTAGTGTAGTGAGCTTCCCCCGGGGGTGAATGCTAATTTATGGAGCAGTTTGCCATGGCCTTTGCTATTACAGTTTTCATATTCTGAGAAATTATGACCATCAGGAACGTAGATACCTTTGAGGTAGCTTCTCATGTTGGCGAATTTCAAAGGCATGCTAACAGTGAAATTTGCTTTTTTTGACTATTCCGTTAGAGAGCAAATCTTTACCTTTGACAATAAAGTAATTTAGAAAGTGAGGTTTTTCAGGGCTATAAGCCAAGAAAAAATGTGTTTTCTAGGTCTGCCAGGAGAACAAACAGGTTCAGCCTGATGAGGGTGAAGCCAGGCTGCTCCTTAGAGACAAGGATTCTGAGGCTTCATCTGACGTTCTTTGGACATGTTGCAAGGAGGGACGAGTCCTTGAAGAGGGATATGTTTGGGAGAGTGGAGGGACGGTGCAGGAGAGGAAGACCGTCGATGAGATAGATTGACTCAGTGACTGGGGTAATGGGAGTAGGTGTGTCAGAGACAGTGAGGTTGGCACAGGATAGAGCAGGGTTTAGGGCTCTTGTCCATGGAGTCACTATGAGTCACAAGCGACTCGACAGCACATTTATGGCAGTGCCTACCCCAGTAGATTTTTATCTTGGAAAATAAATAAAATCTTTCTGAAATTTAGAGTAATGTAATCGAAGCTGCTCCAGATATGAAGAGAGAGGGAGAAAAGGAGTGGTATTTTGGCAACGCGGACAAAGAGAGGAGTGGCCCGTATGGATTTCCTGAGGTAAGTGAGTGGGAGAGGTGAGACTTCCATGGACTGCTACAGGAGACTCACTGACAGAGATGTCAGGAAACCATCCTCAGCCCAGTTCAGAGGAGAGGACATGCCCGGGCCACAGGGTCCAGCCTGGGCATGTGAATGGGAGAGGTTCGCCTTCCACAGACAGCAGCTAGAGACTGACCACACAGAGATGTCAAGTGCTTCTAAATGGATTGGAGTTGCTGTCATCAGCTTCAGGGTGCTAACATTCTGTTACTAACTTGCCTTTCTCTAGAGAAACACTGGCTCCCAATCCCATCTTCACATCTGTTTACTGTCAGAGCACTTTGTTAATGAGTGACATTGCTGTCCTACTAACATCACGCCACGTGGTATGAGCAGTACTTCTTAGCGTACAGTCTGAAATGGATTGGAAATGGCAGATCCAGTCCAGGAGCTAAGGACGGCCTCCACCCACATGCCCAAGCTGGATAATTCTGCTTCATTTTCTTTTCTGCTCAACCAAATTTGATCTTCATTTAATTCATAATTTAGTATGAATTTATTTTTAAGTAGAAAATCTCTTGTTTCATTGATCTGTTTGTAATAGTGGTGACTCTGTCCATTTAGATGCAAGAAATGTGGACCAAAGGAATGTTAAATGCAAAGACCAGGTGCTGGGCACAAGGCATGGACGGGTGGCGGCCGCTGCAGTCCATCCCTCAGCTCAAATGGTGCCTGCTAGCCAGCGGGCAGGCTGTGCTGAATGAGACGGACCTCGCCACCCTGGTCCTCAACATGCTCATCACCATGTGCGGCTACTTTCCAAGCCGGTAAGTGCCACGATACCTGCGTGATGGGCAGGACCGCACAGCTCTGTTCTGCCTCTTGGAAGCTTATCTCCAGTAACAGCACAGGATGATTGCAGTGACTTAGAACAGGATGCTGCAGCCGTGGCCTCGGGAGAATGCTGCTTTGGGGTTTGGAGCTTTCTAGAAAAATGAAAACAACATGGCAGATACAAAGAAATAGTTGACGCACTACATTGCTTTCTGTCAAGTGCCATCAGGTTGGAGCTGATTCCTAGATGGCCCTCCGGCAGATTTCAGAGGCTGTTTGTCCCCACGGAGAAAGGTGCCCATTTATCTGTCCTAATTACTGTGTTAAGTAGATTTTGTGATGCTACTTATTGAGAAACTGGCATTTTTAGTAATGTTTGGGATTTCATGGCTCCGTTCTTGTGTAGAATCAGGTCAGACTAAAACACAAAATTCTTATTTCGAGGCAAAGGCCTTACTCCAAGGCTGTTTTGAGTAGTTTACATTTGCACAGTGCAGTTAGACCTGCCCTAAGGGGGTAGAACCGGTGGATTGTGTCATCTCCAGAAGGAATCCATTAAATAAGAAATGAGAATCTTTGGCAGTGAAATCTTACAGAAGGAAATGAAGTCTTATTCAGCAGCCAAATAGATTTAAATCAGAATACCTAACCATGCACCCAGTCGTATGTAAGCTTAGGCTTTATTCACAGGAAGCAGGTAACCGCTTCCTGCCTGGTGGAATACCACACGCAATTACTGAGCATGATAGATGCTGACTTCAGAAAATGTTTTGTAGGGATCAAGATAATGCCATCATCCGGCCTTTACCCCGCGTGAAGCGACTCCTGTCAGACGGCACCTGTCTGCCCCACATTATTCAGGTAGGTGGTGAGCAGTCCTGGGAGAATCTTGGGCCTTTGTTTCATCTTCTTGTAGCCATAGTCTCTGTTGTGTTGTCCTTATTCTGCTCTGGAAAAATCTGCGCCAAGTCCTGTTTGCTTCTTGGGTTCTTCAGAGTTGCTCTTCTAAGTATTACTGTGGTGATGGTGTGTCTGGGTGCCCACTGGTGGGCAGCATCCCCACTCCAGAATGACCACGAGTGGTGTTTTTCTCCATGCTTCGAGTCACCCATGAGGAAACACCAAGGTGCTGCTCGGGAGTGTGGTCCAGAGTGATGATGGGGTGGTGATGGTGCTTGGAACCCTGCCTGTGATCTGTGTCAGCCTCCTCTGTCCTGCATCTCCAGCCTTAACTCCTCTCCGTGATGGACTCTGTCTCTCCATGAGTCATAACTCCTGGAATGCACTGGGTAGAAATTATGCCAGACACGCAGTTGTTACAGTTAGAATCCTTCTACCCTTTTAGAATTTAGCCGTGTGTACTCCCTACTTAGGGAGCTCTGGCTTAATGCCCTGCATCCCCAAAGGCATGTGGTTCTAATCACTGGCCACTTGGGGGGAGGCTGATGACCAGTGTGTCATCCCCCCACCCCACCCTCAGCCCCTGTGTGGTTTACTGCCTCTGCAGACCTGCTGGAGTCAGCTCTGCGTCAGCTCTGCCCTGATGGTACACAAGAACAGCATCCTTCAGAGTCAGCATTAAAGGGAACTGGTCAGGCCCCAGAGTTAGCACATGGGTTTCTCCTGCCTGTCCTGTTACCAAATCTATCTTTAAATTGATCGCTAGTGACTTAGCTTTAAGATCTGTACCAGAATGTGTAGGCTTTGTCAGCCGTGTGTAAATGTTGGCACGTGTGAGCTGCTGTGTCGGTGCCTGAGCAGGAGGGGAGCACTTGTTCCACGTGGGAGGCCTGGGTGTGCATCTCAGTCAGTGCCAGTCCGTGTCAGCGGGGCCTGAGCACCTGAGCCTCTGGTGGCACAGAGACTTCTGGACAGCTCACTGCCACACCAGCTCGTTCATTCACCCATGGACTTCTCAAAGTTGGTGGTTGTCAAGTGTGCCTGTTTCTGCTCACACTGTTAGATGAAAGAGTGCGCAGCTAGTGGTGCTCCCAGACTCACCCTCTCCACACCCGGTGGATGTGGGGTGGACGTGGGCCATGTGTGGGGTGGGCCTTGTGGAGTGGGCAGGCGCAGGGATTCCTGTCCCCTCTCCACACCCAGTGGACGTGGGCTGGGGTGGGAGGCAGTGCAGGGAGCCCTCCTCTCAACATGAAGATCTTGTGTCTAGAAAATCAGCCCCTTTTGGAGCATTTCTGTGACTCCACAAACAAGACCAGAGAAGGAGGTGAATGTGAATGGCATTCAATTTCAGGCCAGAAAGGGAGGATGGAGCATTTTAAGATACATGATCGGTAGTACAAGAAGCTTACTTGATTTAACAAAAATGTTGTGGCCAGAAGCTGTGCTACAATCAATCCCAAAGGCACGTGGTTTGAGGCCACCTGGTGCTCTGTGGGAGAAAGATGGGCAGTCTCCTCCCGTGCAATTAACTGCCTCTGAAAACCCGCCGGAGAGGCAGCCATGGGTCGGTTCTGACTTTAGGGTACACAACCACAACTATATCAGAACAACGAAAGCCATTCAGAAGGTGAGTTTTACTGTTACATCTGGCGTTTTTCAACAATATTTACCACTTACAGTTTTTACACTGGGTTTAAAAATATTTTTATATGTTCTAAGTTCTTTTGTCCTTGGACAGCTTCTCCTGCCACGTCGACCTCGGCAGCTGCAGTGGTGTTCTCTCGCGTTAGCTGCAGGCTGGTAGGGGATGTCTCTGCTTCATTTGACCTGCAGACTGTCGTAGATGGAGCTGTGTCCCACAAACTGAGATTCCTCTGAGAAATCATCATCCAGTGAGCTGGGAAGTGTGTAGGATGGGATGCAGCACCCCTCACGAGGCTACAGCCCTGATCTGCTGAAGGGCTTTCCCCTGGGGTGATGCTCATGGAAATAGAAAGCCAGGCAGCCGGGAAAGGGACTTGAGGACGCAGGGGAGCATGCCCTGTGCACCAAGGTGCCTGTGCGGAGCTCCAAATATGGGGAGGGCCAGAACAGGAGATCTCCACAAACTACTCCACCTACAGATGCTGGAGGAAGCACCCGGCACGTGCACTTGCCTCCTGGGGGCCCAGTGGTAAGACACTGCACTGCAATCCCAAAAGCTCATGGTTCAAATCAGTGAGATGCTCCGGGGAAGAGAGATGGGTCATCTCCTCCCACGCACTTTACTGCCTCTGAAAACCTTCTGGAGGGTCCAATATCGGTCTATTCTGACTTGACAAGTGGTGGTTGTTATGTGCCATCGAGTCGCTTGCAACTCATAGCGACCCTGTGTACAACAGCCCTAAACTCTGCTCTGTCCTGTGCCAACCCCACTGTCTCTGACACTCCCATCCGATTGCCCCAGTCACTGAATCAATCCACGTCATAGAGGGCCTTCCTCTCCTGTGCTGTCCCTCCACCCTCCCAAGCATGATGTCCCTCTCTAAGGACTGGTTTTTCTTTGCAGCATATCTAGAGTATATCAGATGGAGCCTCAGAATCCTTGCCTCCAAGGAGCCACCCGGTTTAACCCTCTCCAGGATGAACCTGTTTGTCTTCTTAGCAGTCCATGGTACATTCAGTACTCTTCTCCAACAACACAGTTCAAAGGCATCAATTCTTCTTCTATCCTCCCTAATCATTGTCCAACTCTCAGACGTATAACAAGTGATGGCAAAGACCCTGGCCTGTATAAGATGCACTTTAGTCTACAGAGAGACACCATTGCTCTTCAGTACTTTGGAAAGGTCCCTAATAGCAGACTTTCCCATTGTAATATGTCTTTTAATTTCCTGGCTGCTGGTGCCAAGAGTGTTGACTGTGGAGCCAAGCAAACTAAAACTGTGAACAATATCAATCTCTTCACCATCCATCCTGATGCTGCCAATTGGTCCATGGTGAGAATCTTTGTCTTCTTGACATTGAGCCTCAATCCATATTGAAGGCTGCAGTCCTTGACCCTCTGCAGCAAGCGCTTCAGGTCCTCCTCAGTTTCACCAAGCAGGGTTGTGTCATCAGCATAACGCAGATTGTTGATAGATCTTCCACCCATCTTGACCCCACATTTCTCCTCATAGAGCCCAGCCTCCCGGATGATCTGTTCTGCATACAGGTTGAAAAGGTATGGAGGCAGGACACATCCCTGGTGTATACCCTTCCCAATTTTGAACCTGCAGTGTTTCCTTGCTCTGTTCTAACAACTGCCTCTTGGTCCAAGTATAGGTTTCGCATTAGAATGATCAAGTGTTCTGGGATTCCCATTCTTCTCAGAGTCAGCCACAGTTTGTTATGTTCCACCCAGGACATAACAACAAACTGTACATGAATATGTTGCTGTTTGTTAAAGCTATTTCCCATGCTGTCCCTGTCATATGGCTTGATGGTTCGACATTTTGACATAGCTTGAGAATTTTTGGTGTCGTCTGTGTCTTAAGATTTCACAAAGCAACTCAGACTCTTAAGTCAGAACCAAATCATAGTTGAGCTCTGAGGCCATAAGTCACGCAGGAGGTTTGCCCAGCTTACTCCCTTAGGGCAGCTGGTGGGTTCACTGGGGCTCTGGGTTAAAAATGCAGCTCCCCACAGGCAACCCGCAGGTGTCAGAGGACTTTCATTCACAGGGTCGCTGTGAGTCGCCTATGACTCCACGGCACTTAACAACACAGACAACACTATGAGAGACGAGGCTAGAACACAAGATTTAAAAAAAAAATTATTACCTTTAGTGGGTGTACGGTCAAATTGGATCTGACTGGTACAGGAGAAGATTGTCCCTCCTTCTCCAGCAGAGCATCTGGTGGATTTGAACTGAGCACCTCTGGGATTGCAGTGCAGCTTCTTGCCACTGGGCCACCAGAACTCCCTACACAAGATTCTTAACAGAGAAAAAACCCTCTTGATAAGACCAGTAAATACCATAATAAACAAACAGTTGAAATTGTAAACACATGATTTTACTTAGGTCTGCACTCAGTGCCAGTGAAGCACTTGGGTTTATTTCCTATAAAAGAGCAGGTGGGGGAAAGCCTGTGAGATCTGTAAAATTTATCCTGGTGCCAAACATGTGGTCTGAATATCTCAGTGGGCCTCTCCTCCGTATTTCCTTTCAAGGAGGGATGGCCATCCTTTGGGAAGGAACTTTCTAATAAATGTGTCAATTTTTAACTGTTTTACCCTGTGGCAGAAATCTTAGTGACCCACAGCAGAGAATGTTAGTGATCAGATTTGTGAGTTCCCATCTGGGTTATACTGTGACCACCTCCTCTGAGCTAGTACTTCCACCTTGATTTTTAATCTTTTCTCCTGGTAACATTTGAATCAAAACTGAGCATTCTTTATAAGCAGAGGCTTATTGGAAAGCCAGAAATGTCAACTTTGTGAAGCCTTCTAGATAAAACATGTTCGGTGTATTTGTTAATGCTCGCTCATAGTAACGCCGTTGTTTCTGATGGTTCTCTCAGTCATGGCAGGTTTTCTGCCACCAGTGTTTTCTGCTCTCTTTTTAATGGCGTTTTTAAATTGTGATTTGAGTGGCATTTTATGAAGAGTTGATTTACAGCCAGCCATTGATGTCGTGCTGCTGCACGACATGAGCCATGATGCCCACGGTGGGACGGAGCCTTCCGCTGTAGTCAGCCCTTCGTCCCCTGCCCTGCACCTTCCGGGCACCTGGATGTTGTCCTCGCCCACGTGCTGCCTTGGGGCCTCCCACTGTCTTCTCCTGTCTGTAATGTACTGGAAACTGGAGCCCTGGGGGTGGGTTTGGTCCAGGTTCAGAGGTTCCTCAGCATCTCAGTCTTGAGGCTCCCCCAGTGTGTGCCCCACCTTTTCTATGTAAGTTTTGTTCCACATTTCCCTACAGTCTGTTGCCAATCTTCTGCTGAGGTTAGGCGGGGTCTGGTTTGCCCAGTGCTGCTGGATCTCCCTCCTAGCACCATTTAACTGATAATACGTCTTGGTGTTGCACATTGCATTCTTGGATAGTCTCCAACGGCTTGTTCTTTTCCACTCAAGTGGATCTGACTCAATCTGAAGCTCCTTTGGTGTTGTTAACAGAGGAGTTCTCTCAGGAAGACCTTCCACAAACTAGAAACAGTTTTGTCTATGATCATGAAAGAGCAAGCTTCAAGTGTGTTCAGGCTTCTGAACACATTGAATCTGCTCTGCATTGCTGTTTTACTGTCTCTTCCTGAATGTTGTACCGTTGGGACAGTCCTTAAGATCTGTAGAGTGCTGGTGGATAAGCTTACTGAATCTCTTCGAGTTTGCCTTTATAATTGGTTTTGAACTTAAGGGAGCTCTGGTGACCTAGTGGTAAATTGCTGCGCTGCCAACCCAAAGGCACATGGTTCAAATTCACGAGCTGCTCAATGGGAAAAAGGTGGGCAGTCAGCTCTCATGCAATTTACTGCCTCTCAAAACCCTCTGGAGCGTGACTTGACTGCGCATTAACAAAACTGGACAGAAGAAACCGTGACCTGAGCATATGGAATGTGGACATTGAAGATTAGGAATGATATTGCAGGTTTTCTTTATAGTAACACAACTGTTACCTTTTTTCCTTAGCTGCTGCTGACCTTTGACCCGATCCTCGTTGAGAAAGTGGCGGTTTTGCTCTATCACATTGTGCAGGACAACCCACAGCTACCTCGCCTTTACCTGAGCGGAGTGTTCTTCTTCATCATGATGTACACAGGCTCCAACGTGCTTCCTGTTGCTCGGTAGGAATCGTAGGGGAGCAGAGCTGAAACGTGTCTCTCTCAGTACACAGGCAGCGGGGCTTAACTGGCAGTACTTCTATTACATTTTTCCTGGTAAAAATTGTTGGAATGTCTGTCATTTGGAAAATTAAAGACAGGAAGATAATGCCTCAGGTGTCTCCTCTTGATCACATGTTCTATAAAAATATAAATGTCATTTGCACCTGTTATTTAAAGACAAGACGCCAGCTGCTGGTGACGAAAGGCTGCTTGGCAAGGGCTGGGAGTTTAGCTCTGCGTGGGTCTGTGACAGGCGGGTCACCTGCTCTCAGCAGGATGGCAGGGTGTGGGCCCACGGGCCTGCTCTGCGCCGCTCTGCGGGGCCGCCTGAGTCAAGAGCAACTTGAAAGCAACGGGTTTAGGATTTTAATACATTTGTTTGGCATCCCATAGAGTAATATTGAAAGGAACTCTGATGACCTAGTGGTAAGAAGCTGTCCTGCCAACTCAAAGATGGCCAGTTCGAGTCCACCAGCTGCTCCACAGCAGAAACATGGTCACACTCCTCCTGTGCAGTTTACTGCCTCTGAAAACCCCTGAAGGCTCAGTGGTCAGTCGGTTGTGACTCGGTGGCACATGCAGCAACATATTTATATTGTGTATGAAACTTTGCTTTCTCTTGTTCTAAAATTTGTACAGTTCTTTCTTACTGTAACAATCTTAATAGGGCCATTATTTTCAATTTTTATATTTTAAGTTCTTGAATTAGTGAAACAATTTAGAAATATAAATTTACACTTTTTTCCTGAATTTCAGTTTGTGTGTGTGATCTGATCTTTAGAACATTATAGTAACTACTCAATTCCTAAATCTGACAAGTCATTGTTTTTCTTTGTAGATTTTTGAAGTACACACATTCAAAGCAGGCTTTCAAGTCAGAGGAGGTAAGTTGTTTAATGCTGTGACCACACGAGTCAGCACTAGTTAGTGGTCTTCACATGCAAGTATCAAGAGCTGTGTGTGTTCACTAGAGATTACCGTTATAAGCATTTTGAGGGCCAGTGTTGTTTCATTTCACTTTTATAGTCCTGTGTTACCTTGCTCATATTGTTGTTAGGTGCCTAGCCTCGTATGACTTAATGCCAACCCTGTTAACAACAGATCTGAACCCTGACCTATCTTGTCCCATTCTCATCATCCCAGACAGTCTTGAGCCTGTTGGAATAATCACTGTTTATTGGTACCATATGGTTTAAGGATTTTCTTCTTTTGCTGTCCCTCCACCTTCCCAAGCATGATGTCCTTCTTCAAAGAATAGCCTCTCCTAAGCAACATGCTCAGAATATGGGAGATGAACCTTCCTCATCTTCGCCTCTACAGAGCACTCTGGCTTCATCTTCTCCAAGACCTGTATGGGTTTTGGCAGTCTGTCCGGCACTCTTCTCCAACACCACAGTTCAAAGGTGTTATTAGTTCTTCCGTTATCCTTAGTCGTTGCTCAGCTCTCAGATGCTCAGCAAATGACTGAAAAGACCATGGTGTGAATTAAGCGCACCTTAGTCCTCAGATTGACATCACTGCTCCTCAGTAATTTGGAGAGGTCCTAGGCTACAGATTGTCCCAGTGCAGCACATCTTCTACTCTTCTGACTGCTGGTACCGTGTATATTGGTTGTCGATACAAGTCAAATGAAGTCATTGACAGTTCCAGTCCTTCTCCATCTATTGTGGCAGTGATCCAGTGGTGAGAATTTTTGTTTTCTTGATGTTGAGATTCAATCCATATTGAAGGCTGTGGTGTTTAACCTCCTGCATCGAAAGGCTAAGCTTTTCTTTTTTACATTGAATCTTGCTGTTTTGTTTACCTAATTAAACTCCATTGAAATTGGAGGTGTGACTTAGAACATGCCTCTCCATGAATTTAGCTTGCTGTCCTTGTGTTCTGTCACCCTCAAGGATTCAGGAAGACAGCAGCCTTTTGAATTCAGATCCCAGCTGACAGGAATGCAAGGCATCTGCTTCCAAGCTGCATTATTTTTCAGGAGCTCCAGGTAGAAACGAAGGCTATGAGAAAAGGTGTTTCCCTGGCAGCTCTGACAACTCCAGATGTCGTCATACTACCCTTTTACACAGAACTGTCCATTTTCCAACAGAATTGAAGCATGTTTGTCAATGTAGTGGACTGCTGATGCATCATTTTTTGGTTTGGTTTGTTTACATTTTGGCTATGTTTTGTTTACATTGTGTTTATCTTTTGTTTTGGTTTGCTTTAGTATGTTTACATTTTGGTTTGGTTTGTTTACATTTTGGTTTGGTTTGGTTTTGTTTACCAAAACTGGAAGGCTAATGTGAGCGCTGTCCCATGCTGACAGTAGACCCCAGGCCACCCTGCACGTTCATAGAGCTGTTAGAGTGTTTCATGCAGACAAAGATGGCAGCTTCGCCTCCCATACTGTGAGCGTGTTGTTAGAAGAGGCTCTCTCTAGCAGAGGGACTCATGCTTGGGAAGACAGACACAGCACTGGGCTGGCATGTGTCAGGGTTGAGGATGGGACAGGATAGGACACAGTTCAGATCAGTTGTTCACAGAGTCACTGTGAGTCATACTCCGCTTGATGGCACCTAACAACAGTAATGCCTAGAAACAGGCAGTCTGTCGTGTGATACTCAGAGATGCCCAGGCAGTAACAATTCCACGGCTTCATGCAAATAGAAGATGACATTATAAATTAATTACTTCTAATCGACGACATAAATGCTGGATTTGACATTTTCCAGCATTTTTCCTGTGCAGTTGCGCATGACTAATTTCTAAAAGTCTAATAATCTTAGAAGCAGTAGACATCGTTTCATTTAACAATATGTCGAATATTTACACCAATCTAGATTTGCTTATGGAAAAGTCTGAATTCAGGGAAGAAAGAATGTTGTTAACCTTTAGAAACAGAGAAGACCTGTTTTGAGTCTTGGGAGCACTGGGTCTTAAGTGATAGAAAAAATTATAGGAGAAAAATAACAGCCAAAGAAGTGTGGAAACGTCTGCTTCTCCCTTGAAACATACGTTGGTACTGGCATTGGAGTGGCCCTGACGCAGTAGTGGGTCAGACGTGGCCACATCTGTGTGTCCTGCTGCTGTCCTGCCCCATGACTGCAGTCACTCCCTCACGTTCATCCATGTCACGCTGGGCTTGTCATGTCTACAGCTTGTCTGGAAGCTTTCTTGTTCACATTTTTAATAGAATTTATCTACTGTGTTGTGGGAATCACATCAGAGTGACACTCGGAGCAATAGAAAGTCATTTCCCCCCCACAGTTTATTACTTAGTGATTTTATGGCCTAAGTTAGCAAAAATTTACCTTCTAATTTGTCTTTCACCAAGAAATAAAGTGACCTTTGGGGTCTTCCCCCACCCACTTTCTCTCTCTGTCATATTCTAAGGGGTGGGGGCGTATTTCAATCTGTCTAAAAGGAAATGAGGAAAAACCATTATAGTATATATATATTTTTTTCTTTAAGGTTTTATTTCCATCAGATGAAGAAGTTAGATTAAAAGTTTAATGGGGGGAAAAAAAGTGTGCCAGGTGTGTCCAAGGATATGGGGTTATATGACAGCTGAGTATAATTACTGTGAATAGCAGTTCCATCCAGACTTTCCAGGGGCAGGCTTTTTAAGGTCTTGCTTTTGGGGAACACAACTGATATTTGAAAACAGAAACAGGTGAAAAAGGGGCCAACTCAGTGAAGCAGGAAAATTAAAACCAATGTCCACCTTGATCCTCTGGGACCCATACCTGTTCCTTGTGTCCAGTGGCCGGTTATTCTAAATGACCATGGCAGTGTGGCATTCTGCCAGGCTCAGGTCAGCCCAGGTCACACTAGAAAATCTTCTGCTCACAGCTTGCCTACTTCTAGACACATTTTTGAAGTAGAAGGTGGTGTGTTCCAGCTGTGTTCTAAGTTATTCTTCAGCTACAGGGGGTTTTGTTAGAAAACGGAGAGATCTAGAGTTTCTAACAACATTTTGTTTTGTTTTAAAGACAAAAGGCCAAGATGTTTTTCAGAGAAGTATACTTGGGCACATCCTCCCCGAAGCCATGGTTTGTTACCTAGAAAATTATGAGCCGGAGAAGTTTTCTGAGATTTTTCTTGGAGAATTTGATACCCCAGAAGCAATCTGGAGTAGTGAAATGAGGTAAAATGCCATTGCTTCATTTGATTATTTTTTCCTAGAGGAAAAAAAAAATTGAGGTGAAATTCATGTAATTTAAAATTACCAACATAAAAATGAACCATTTATGGCATTGGCGCCCTCACAGTGTTGATGTCCAGTAAACACCTCTATCCGTGTGATGGATTATATATTCTATATAAGGTTTGTGAAATAAGGTTCAGAGAAATGCTTTCATGGTCCTGTAATCTGAAAATAATCATTGATAAATTAAGTGGATATGGCGGGTTTCCACAAGGCCTATAGCTTTGTTCCTACTCCGTTCTAACGTGGTTTAACAAAATGGCTATCTTTTTAATAGATCTGTGTGAATTGTTAGGATGTATAACCATTGGTGCATTTTAAGTTTGTTGTTGTTATGTGCCGTCTGTTGACTGTGACTCTTAGGGACCCTCGGATCATCAGAACTAGACCTTGCCCTGTCCTTCACCGTTCTCACCATCTCTATGCCCATTGTTGTCACAGGGTCAGTACATCTGGTTGAGGGTCTTTTTCTCTGACCTTGATTGACATGTTTTTTCTTCAGCTAATTGGGAAAGTCTGCTGTCAGAGACCTCTCCAAAGTACTGAAGAGCAATGATGTCAGTCTGGAGACTAAGGTGCGCCCAATACAGGCCATGGTCTTTGCAGTCACTTGTTATGCATCAGAGAGCTGGACAGTGACTAGGGAGGATAGAAGGAGAATTGATGCCTTTGAGCTGTGCTGTTGGAGAAGGGTGTTGAATATAACATGGACTGCTAAGAGAACAAGCAAGTCTGTCCTACACAGGGTGAAACCAGGCTGCTCCTTGGAGGCAAGGATTCTGAAGCTTTGTCTGACACACTTTGGACATGTTGCAAGGAGGGATTAGTCCTTGGAGAGGGACAGTGCAGGAGAGAAAGACCCTCGATGAGGTGGATTGATTCAGTGACTGGGGTAATGGGGTAGGTGTGTCAGAGACAGTGAGATTGACACAGGATAGAGCAGGGTTTAGGGCTGTTGTCCGTAGGGTCACTATGAATCACAGGCGACTCAATGGCACATAACAACAAAAACAACAAAGTTAATTGTTTTGATGAAAGTTCTTATTAGGAAAGTAGTGTTGCCATGTAGGAAGGGAACATTCAGAAGGGAAGGCTGTAAGAAACTCTGGGAAATGACAGAGGCCCAGAAGCAGCATCCTGACATCCCCCAGCGCCATCGCCCAGACCTCCCCTGAGCGCTCTCGGGCTGACTTGGTCAGCCAACTCCCTGGTCATTGTCTGAGGTACATGAACCTGTCGGGTTGGCATGAGCTACCTGTTAAAATAGGGGAGCTCTGATGGCCTAGTGTAAGAAGTTGTACTGCAATCTGGAGGGCCAGCCAGTCTGCCGGAGACAGACGGAGAGTCTTCTGTGTGATTTACTGCCTCTAAAAGCCCACTGGAGGGTCAGCTACGGGGCAGTTCTGACTTGGTGGCACACAGCAACAGTCTGTCAATATCTTCTGTATGGCAGTTAAATGTTTTTAGTTGGAATGGAATGTATAGACATTTTAATTAATTAATTGCATTTCCTGTGATAGTTTTCTTATTCTGAAATTCGTTGGTTTCAATCTCCATCTGTGTCAATCTGCCCCTGTATCAGTAAAGTGTCTGTCTGGGTGGGGGTCAGACCCTGCTGTGGTCATCTGACTACAGGAGCCTTTTGGGGGTGATCACAGGCTTGCATCCCAGCTATGCTCCGATGAATGCAGGCTCGCTCCGTTCGGTCTTCTGTCGCAGAGCAGGAATGCTGGACCTCGTCTAAGACTTCATTAAGCGAAGTGTCCAGAACAGAGATTATGGAAGTTTGCCTCTCTTCAGTGTTTTTACACAGTGTATTTACCAACGCTCAGTTTAGCCCAGTAATGAAGTTACTTTCCAGAATATTCCTGTGACCAACTCGCATCATTACCTATTTTAACACCTTTTTAAATAATAAAGTAATTCTTCGTACTCCTTGAATGAAGGCTTTTGTTAATTCCAGGCGCCTAATGATAGAGAAGATTGCTGCCCACCTGGCTGACTTCACACCACGTCTGCAGAGTAACACCAGAGCACTTTACCAGTACTGTCCCATCCCCGTCATCAGCTATCCACAGCTGGAGAATGAACTGTTTTGTAATATTTATTACCTCAAACAGCTTTGTGACACACTCCGGTTTCCAGATTGGCCAATTAAAGATCCGGTAGGTTAGCAGATTAATGTTTACCTTCCTAATCCATGAAAAAGGGAGCTCTGGTGGCCTAGCGGGTGGTGTGTTGCACCGCTAACCTGAAAGCAAGCAGTTCAAACCCAGCAGCAGCAGCTCTGGGAGAAGGGCGGACAGTCTCCTTTGGTGCAGTTTGTAGCCTATGAAAAGCCCCTCTCGGCGGCAGGAGCCCTGAGAAGCCCGGAGAAGGACCCTGGTCGTCGGTGCTCGGTGTGTGGCTGCACCAGGGAAGAGTGGACCTACGGCCGGAGCTGTCTGCTCCCACACTCAATTGCTGGGAACCAGGAGCCAGGAGTGGGCTCCATTACACAGAAGGCCTCGGGGTAGAAATGTGAAAATAGCCTCTGAGCATTTCTGGATGTTTTTTCCTTCTGTGGTGAAAAGGATGATGAGTTTCCTTGAGTATGCCTTTTATTTTGAAGCACTGTGCCGCTCTGAATGTGGTTTTATATTTTGGGGGAAATCTGAAACAAAAAGGTAATTTTTTAAGGAAACACTAAGAACTCTATAGTCTTGATCTTTGATGACAAAGAGAAGGAATCCATTTCACGTGTGTGACAACTTAGCAACGATAATAGCTTGCCTGTAATTCCCCTTATAGCAGAGTGAGTGAGCTCACCAGTGTTGCTGTTAGACAGTTTAGTTGAATTCTCACCTTGGCCCTGACTGTCACGGTATCCCGTTGGCTATGCTGCTTGGTTTCTCCAAGTCTCCATTTTAAATGTTAAAATGCTGACTGCCTCATGTCGCTGTGAAGGCTGAGGTTCACATGATTCCTGGTCCTGATGAAGCAGTGAACAATCCCCGCGGTCCTCTTGTGTCATGATGGACACTCCCTGCTGTCCCGTGTGTCATGATGGACACTCTCTGCTGTCCCTGTGTGTCATGATGGACACTCTCTGCTGTCTCGTGTGTCATGATGGACACTCTGCTGTCCCGTGTGTCATGATGGACACTCTCTGCTGTCCCTGTGTGTCATGATGGACACTCTCTGCTGTCCCTGTGTGTCATGATGGACACTCTCTGCTGTCCTTGTGTGTCATGATGGACACTCTCTGCTGTCCCTGTGTGTCATGATGGACACTCTCTGCTGTCCCTGTGTGTCATGATGGACACTCTCTGCTGTCCCTGTGTGTCATGAGAGAGTGGACACTCTCTGCTGTCCCGTGTGTCATGATGGACACTCCCTGCTGTCCCCATGTATCACGAGGCAGTGGACACTCCCTGCTGTCCCGTGTGTCATGAGGTAGTAGACGCTCCCTACACACACACACACACACACACACCCCACCGTGTATCATGGTGGACACTCCTTGCTGTCCCTGTGTGTCATGAGACAGTGGACACTCTCTGCTGTCCCCATGTGTCATGGTGGACACTCTGCTGACCCCGTGTGTCATGAGGCAGTGGGGCTCCCTCCACCCCTCACCCCTGTGTGCCGTGAGGCAGTGGACGCTCCCTGTATGTATGGTGATGTCTGCCTGTCCTGTCTTGGTGCCCTAGGACCCTGGCCTCCATCCTCAGTTCTCTTCTGGGCCTGGAGTGACGTCGGCCTGGGCGCTCAGCTTGTGTCACTGTGATGAAGGTCACTGTTGTTCTGACAGTGAGGCCGACTACCACAGCTGTTGCCATTTCTATCACAGTAATTGTCCATTTTCAGGCTGTCACCAAACAGGTCAACTCAGATAGTTGTTCCCTAGTGAACTACAATAGCAGACAAGTAAGAACCACCACCCGCTCACTAGGCGAGAAACACGACTACCTCTTGGAATCTCAGTGGTATTATCATGTTAATTGCAAATTTCCTAAGAAGGAAACCAGGCACACTAGGAATTCCATGGTTATAAATGGTTACATTTATTTGCAAAAGCTGCTTAATACAGTAGAAATTTCAACTTAAAATTCTATTATAAGTGTAGCACTCTGTCTTCCAGGTTAAGCTTCTAAAAGACACCCTTGATGCCTGGAAGAAGGAAGTGGAGAAGAAGCCACCGACAATGTCGCTCGATGATGCCTACAATGTGCTCGGTCTCTCTCAGGCACAGGCCCCGTGAGTGCCCCCCAGAAGGACCTAGCCTTAGAGTGACGCCACACACTCCACCCCAAGTCAGGCTTGTTGCCTGTTCATTGGTGGACACGTGTAGGGAGTGACCAGATGGAACTTGTTGCTTTTGCCAGTGTAGTAGCAGACCTGCCACTGGTCCAGTGACTTCTCTCTGTCCCTTGAAATGGTGTGTGCAGAGACTGGTCCCATAGGTGACATGTGAGACTCACGAGGACAGGCCTTTCCCTGTTCAGCTGATGTTCTAGATGCAGAAGAGGTTTGATTGCATGAGCCTAGAATCCTACTTACAGTTGCATAGGAGAGAATGCACACTCACTTTGTTAGCTACCATTGGATATGTCCAAGAAAATGGTTTAAAAAATTTTTCTCTCGAGAGTTCTGGTGGCCTAGTAGCAAGAAGCTGCAATCCCGCAGGCGCACGGTTCAAATCCACCAGATGCTCCTCTGGAGAAGGAGGGACAGTTTCCTCCTGTGCTAGTTGATCTGACTCGACGGTACACAACAAGAAAAGAAAAGATTTTTCCTCAAGTCTGTACTAAGATGTATTCATTTTTGGCAAGGCTGATAAAATAACTGTAGACTTTGAAGTGATATTTTGAAATAATGATGTTCTAAAACATGAAATTATTTTTAAATTCTTTAAACCTCAAGTATTGTTTTGTAATTTAAAGTAAATGATAACCTTACGTATGGAACCTGTTCGTGTTAAATAGCTGAAATCATCTTATTTAATCTTACTGGGTTTCATTTGCTATTTAATGCTCCTGGTAAAAAAAGGAAGGCTCTTTAAACATTTTAGATGACGTTGCAAATCCTGTTTTGTCCTGGACTTACCTGCCTCCTGGTGCTCCTCTGTTGACAGGCATGACGAGAGCAGGGTCCGCAAAGCTTACTTCCGGCTGGCGCAGAAGTACCACCCTGACAAGAACCCGGAAGGGAGAGTAAGTGTGGCCTGGGGCTCGAGCCCGTCGCTCTGCCGTGTTGAGAGGACAGAGTTCCACCTTCACGGCGGTGTCTGCCCCTCAGACTTCTAGCCGTGTGCTTGTGACTTACGGTGTATGCCTTGGGTGGGCAGCACAGTTCCTCACCACCAGGCCACCGAGTCAGAACCCACCGTAGCCCTCCCTCCAGTGGGTTCTCAGCGGCTGAAAAGCACACAGGAGAAGACGTGCCGTCTTCTCAGAGCAGCCGGTGGATTCAAACCATGTGCCTTTGACCTGGCAGTGCAGCGCCTTGTCACTGCCTTCACAGCTGGCCCTTGCTTTATCAGTAGGACTGTCCTTGGTAACTTAGGTGTCTATTTTCTCTCCTTTGTCCTGTTGATCTGATGACCGACTTTAACCAGCAGTCTGTGAGGAACTGAAAGCTTGACCTGTGGGTTGATGGCATTTATTGGTAATTGACAGCCTGCTATCTCGATGGTTTGGGGAATTGAATATATTTATCCAACGAACCTCACAGTTAGCTGAAGAAAAGCATTTATTGCAGGTGTAAAATCTGCTGCTTCTTATTTCCCTGGTTCTGCACCTTCCAGCTTCCTGCTAAAATCCCAGTAGAAACTGAAAATAAATCCTATGGAATGAGAATGCTTTGAAAGTAGGACTGATGGTCTTTTGCCAGAATCTTGAAGGCATTTGCTAACTTCCAGGTCCCAGCTTTTCACTGGTGGTAGAGTATGTCTGCACGGGAAGACTGGGCTTTGAAGTTCAGTCTCAAGTGGGAAGATGGGACTTAAAGCCCTGAAAACCAATCACACAGTCTCTGAGAGTCAGAAACACATCAGCAGCAGTGAGCTGAGTAGCAGTTCAGAATCATGTGGGAGAGAAAGCCGTCCAGATTGAAAGAATGTCTGGGCAATTAGACTTGAGATGATAGATACAAACAGATACAGATATTCTATATAAAGCTTCACTGTGGGAGCTCTAATGGTCTCGTAGGTAAGGAATTGCACTGCCAACTCAGACACATGGTTCGGATCCACCAGGTGCTCCAAGGGAGAAAGATGGGCAGTCTCCGCACATGTGATTTACAGCCTCTCAGAACCACTGGGAGGTCAGCTGTAAATTGGTCCTGACAGCACGTAACAACAACATAAACCTCCAGGAGTGAGACTGATAATGACGAGAATCAGCTCCTAGATCAGTAGGACAGGCTGTAGAGTCGTGGACTCGTTTTTAAGAACATGGATTTAACACTGTGTGCTAGGAGTATTTTTTTGTGATGTTTGGTATCTTATTTACTATCTCTTAAGTTCTTATGTCTGAGAAATGAAGCTGGTAATAGTGCATAACCTCACGCTCAGAGGTTGTCATGAAACAGTGTGAGGCGTTGCGTTACGTGCCTGCATAGTGCTCCGAGCCTGCGTTGTGCTCCCTGCCCGCGTTGTGCTCCCTGCCCGC